ATATGTTGGAACAGTGCATTATCACGCCAGAGCAACAGAAGTGGAGGGCAAAGCTTGTCGGCTACGACTACGACATTGTAACAAACCTGGCAAGTCGAACTCCGCCGCTGATGCGCTATCACGCGTCCCTGATAGTCCTCTTCTCGCAGCAGTATCAGTTCCACAAGTCTCTCTTTGGGACGATCTCCACGCCTTGGCATCCACAGATCCATACATCATCCGCATTGGTGCAGCAGCGCTAGAGAATCCTGGACGACCTTACTCCTGGAAAGACGGACTTGTCTGCTACAACAATCGTGTTGCGATCCCACCAGGTTCGCAATTTATTACTCAGTTGTTACACAAGCATCACTACACCACCTTGGGGGTCACTCTGGAGTTTTGCGCACTTACAAGAGGCTCTCGCATCACTTCTACTGGCCCTCGATGCATAGAACTATCGCTGATTACATCTCTCGTTGTGACATTTGCCAACGTGCTAAATCCCAGACTATGTCACCAGCTGGTCTTCTCCAACCCTTGCCTGTTCCGCAGCAAATTTGGAAAGACATATCAATAGATTTTGTTGATGGATTACCTCGCTCCGGTGCCTACACGTCTATTATGGTAATTGTCGATCGTCTCAGTAAATCTGCTCATCTGGTGCCTTTGTCTCACCCTTATACGGCATCTACCGTAGCTACAAAATTCATCGACACTGTGGTGAAACTTCACGGCTTGCCTCGTTCAATTCTCAGCGATAGGGACCCAATTTTCCTCAGCCATTTCTGGACGGAATTGTGGCGACTCTCGGGCACAACACTGCGGATGTCTACCGCTTACCATCCACAAACAGACTGTCAGACAGAAGTCGTCAATCGCTGCATTGAACAGTATCTACGCTGTTTTGTTCAGTACAAACCGAAACAGTGGAGCTCTTTTCTTTCGTGGGCTGAGTATTGGTATAACACCACATTCCATTCAAGCACGGATACAAGTCCCTTCCAGGCACTCTATGGCCGACCTCCTCCATCTATGCCACGGTATGAACTTGGTTCCACTCTTGTTGGTGAAATTGATGAGCAATTACAGAATCGGGATGAGTTATTGTCTGAGCTGAAGCAACACTTGGAGGCGTCTAACAATCGAATGAAGCAGTTGGCTGATGCTAAACGACGTGATGTAGAATTTGAGGTTGGTGACTGGATTTTCTTACGTTTACAACCATACCGGCAAAAGTCTGTTCTTCGTCGTTCTTCGCAGAAGCTCTCAAACAGGTTCTATGGTCCGTTCAGAATCGACTCACGCATCGGCAAAGTCGCTTACCGCCTCGCCCTCCCAGCCACCGCTCGCATTCACCCTGTTTTCCACGTCTCTCTTCTCAAGAAACATGTTGGTGACACGGATCCCGTTTCAGTTGAGCTCCCGCCATTGAATGAGTCTGGAATCTTGCGCGTGGTGCCGGAAAAAGCTTTGAATTCACGGGAAGTACGCACGGGGGAAAAGAATATCACGGACATACTTGTTCAATGGGCTAACCTCCCCGTCGAAGAAGCTACTTGGGAAGATTTGCAGCAGCTCAAATCAAGCTTTCCCACGTTTCAGGTGAACCTTGAGGACAAGATTCTTTTCGACAGCGAGAGTATTGATAGGATACAAAAAGACACGTTTGCAGATGGGGTTGCTGAGGTGGCAATAAGGAGATCAGAAAGGCCACGTAAGCAAAACCGAAAATATCTGCAGAGTTAAGGAATCAAGTTTGAAGAGTTATGTTTCAGTTGTTAATAAGAGAACGAGTCTTTAGGCACGTTCTCCACTTTCCCATTTCCTGCACTTTCCCATTTCCTGCAATGTAGGAGTCGATGACTCCATCTTCTTGTTCATTTGCTTCACGTACTCTCTCTATTTAAAGAAATGAAAAACAACTAAATAGGTAGTCTTAACTACCAAATAATTTTTCTTGAGTTCTAAGTTACAGTTTTTGTGATCAACATTGATAATCTCGTACTGGGAACCTATCATCCAAGTTACTTTTCCGTCTGCTCCATGATTCTCCTAATCTACGAGTACTCAAGCTCTCTGTCTCTGTAAGTTTCTTCTTTCTTGATAATTTTCTAGCTAAAAGCAAATATATGGTGTAGTCTTATTATCTCACTCATTTTTTTTTTCTCAAAAATCTCAGAAAGAGATACGTTTTAAGGAGTATGAACCGATTAACTGGAACAGTGACGAGAGCTCTGTTCCTCAATGTTTGTTGGAGAGCCTCGAAACTTTCGAGTTTGCAGAGTACAGAGGAAGTCAAGAAGAGAGAGATTTCGTGAGTTTTATCATCAAGAATGCTCGTGGCTTGAAGTCTTCATCAATCACACCTTGTACCGGAATAGAATCTTATTCAGAAAGTAGTTCCGATGAGTCCTAAGGAGTTGTCTCATTTCCGATTATGGATTTGAAGACTTGTTTTGTTTTAATGTCCAAGAACATTAGCTGTTTAATTGAATTTCGAACTTGGAACCTGTAACTTATTATCATGTGTTGATTCTACTAGTACTACCATCTGGTTTATTTTGGTAATATGTTTGCATATCTTAATATTCAAACCATATTTGAGAACAGGAAACCATAAATGAACACAAACCTATAATAAAATTTCGTGCATTTGAGATACTCGCTATTAGTATGTTTGCTCTCTGATTTGGCTTTGCTTGGACAATCTGAGATTTTTATTTACTTTTATACATTCTGTCCTTTCAACATATGTAGCATTTTTTTTGGGGTTGATTAATGACTTTGAATTTTCAACAAAACAGATGACTAAAAATTAATATTTAATTTTGTTTCTATTATAATTTTTTTCTTCAAGCCCAAACATCAAAATTGGAAACGAACCAAGATATAATTGTATACCAAATAAATATTTTTAACTAAAATTTGAAAAAAAAAACTTCAATTCTAAAAGTTCGTACCGAATAAAGATATTCTAAAATGTTTTTAAGGAAAAGAAACGGGTTTCACATAAAATGTTGTCGGTCCAAGCCCACCATAGATGTAGATCAATTGCTAGCCCAACTGACAAGTTTCAACTGACAATCGAGTCAACCGGCCCTGGCAAATAGCACGATCAAGAGAGAACCTTTTGTTCTTCCGAGTAATTGCCTTCAATGATAAGTCTATCTCGACCCGGAATCTTACCTTTATACTAGTCACGTCTTCTCCTTTTGCTTAGAATACCCCTTGAAACACTCATAAACATATAGAAGTCTCGATCCCCAGACGAGACTTCTCACCCCAAACCTATATAAATTCCCCTCATGAGTGCTTGTTCCCTGTAGGACGTTCAATGACTTAAGCGTCGGAGAACCTTCGTGAGGGAAATCCCCTTCCGGTCTTCCCGAATGCCTGATTGACCTCTTGTGTAGTGCTGGCAGGACCCCGACTACCCCGTAACTAGGACTTAAGTAGTTTTCCGTCCCAGAACAACTCGTCGCCTTTTCCTCTAGAGGACGTAACTCGGAGGCATAACTCCACTCCCTGAACAAATAACACATCCCCACGTGGTATCCCAAAATTTTCTCCCGAACAGAAGTAGTATATAAATATATAACCAAAAAATAAAGATACAAAACTACCTGAATTCATAACCGAAAATTTTTTCAGGTTCTTCATAAAAGAGAGGAACAAGTGTCTCATTCTCCAAAGAAGTAGATTCTCTTGGTGGGATGTTATTCAAATCAAACAAAAAGTCTGTTTCATTATATTATTTTGAAGTGGTATATTTTCGATCAAAATTGTGGTATGATGTAAATCTAGATTAAATACTCGTACAGGAGGATTAGTGAAAAGTTTTGGCTCCAATTCAAATTTGTTTTGGTTGAGTAATGAAAATTGTGGCTCCAAGTTTAACTTTTTTACAAAAAAATTTAATGTTTTTTTAGTAATAACTTTCGTGCATGTTAAAATTTTAGTTTATAACAAAAAACTTTTATGCACATGATGACAAAAATTGGAAAGGGAAAAAGTATATTGAGTATAATTAATATAAGATTGAAAAGTGAGAAAAAAATATTTAAAAAATAAAAAGAGAACAGTTACAAACAAAATGCATTAATATGTGTGTAGAATGTAAAACTGACATGTTTTCAAAAACAGAGGGAGTATATATAATACAAAGTATAACAAGTTATCAGTACGATTACTCTATTAATTATAGGAAGAATGATTACCAGCTACACCAAGTATACACCACTGCACGTCTTCACATCCAAACTTTTCTATTGTATGACTAGCTACACAAAGTTTATGATTTGCATAATAACATGATGTCATTAAAATTAATTTTGTGGTTAACATCACAAACTCAAATTAGGTTGTCGGAACAGTAAATACGACATCGACACGTCATCTTCTGACCAAAATTCTGATAATTAACTAAACCAGGACTAAACCGATCCAAACCCTAAACCGACCCAAATTAAAAAATTCACCTAAACCCAAAAAATTGACCCAGCCCAATACTCTTTAGGCCATCTCTCTTCTTCGATATCGGGCAACAAAAATCCTTTTCCACTTTTTATTAGGGTTCTTTAGAATGGCAAAAGAGATTAAAGGAATTTGAAGGAAAACTGTGAAATTGCTGGCGTAAATCGAGTTTGAAGACTGATTTGTGGCTGATTCTCGTTCCAACGAGGTAATTACTTTGTCTTCGGGATGAATTTTCTGTTGAGATTGTCTTGACATTTGGTTTCGTGTTGGGTTTCATGGTGTGAAATTATCATGCAATTATTTGGTTTTGGGTTTGGTTGAGACTATTATAGGTTATTAATCGGGTTTAGGTTGAAGGAAAATGTATTCACTGTGAATTTGTGTCGGGTTCATGTCGGGGTTATGTCGGGGTTGATCAGTTTGTTTTGTTGTTGGTTTTCATTGTTTTTTATCATTGTTTAATATCAAGTTGTTGTATATTATGTCCGAAATTTAGTTGTCTTCATGTCTTTTGTTTGTTTGTTTATTGTGATTGCAGTAACAACAGCTTGATCAAACTAAATTTCCATCATTTTGGACAATTTAAAAAGGACGAAAATGCACTAATACAATATGTAAATGGAGTGGTTGATTTGGTCGAGGTGGTTGGTGTTTGTATCTTCACAGAGCTGGTGTCGAAGCTGATTGAGAAAGGATTCGTCATTGGGAAATTATGGTTCAAGCTACCATATGAAGATGCAGAAGATAGGAAGCCTCTATGGGAAGATGTTGAGCTTAATAAGTATAGAATGCAAGCTTCTGGGCGTTGGTACAAGAAGCTGGATAAGGGTTGGGATGTTCCTGATGTTGAAGAAGAGAGTGAAAAGGCAGCTGGCGAAGAGAACACTGATAGAGCAATAGTCGTTTCTTTGAATCAAGTAAACAATGGAGAGGCTGGAAAAGATACTGAAGAAGATGAAGAAGGTGATGTATCATATGATGGTAATGGTGAAGAGTCTGATGTTGAAAGCAACAGTTCAGACGCAGGTTTGTCTGATAGTTCAGAATCAGATGATGAGGTTGTTGAAGAAGACCTAGCCATCTTTGAGAATGTGAATTACGATGAACAAGTTTTAGATGAAGATGAAGTTTACCCTGAAACTGATGACTCATTTGATGATGAAGAAGAACAAGCAGAGATGTTAGTGAAAAGAATTTACCTGATGGTGTCTTCAGCTTAAGACAACTATTTAGTAGTGGAAAAGAGTTTAGGCAGGATATTATTATATACATTTTAGAGACTAGGTGTAATGTGGTGTTTGATAGATGGGAAAAAACAAAGCTCAATGATAAGTGTAATGAAAAAGATTGTGGCTGGCAGATTTATTGTTCAGTAGAGAGTCCAATTGGAAAATGGATAATTAAAACATATGAAGATGAGCATCAATGTCATCCTGTGGGAAGGTGTAAGCTTATCCAGAGTCCTGTAATAGCTGATCTCTTTGTTGAAGACATCAGGAGAGATCCAGAAATGAGTGCACATGAGATCAAAGATGAAATGAAAAAGAGATATAATCTGATTATCTCACCTCCACAATCACAAGTTGCAAGAAGAATGGTTTTTGACAAACTGCAAGCTGAGACCAACGACCAATCTGCACGGTTGAGAGATTATGAGTATGAAATTAAGAGGTAAGTGAGTAGTTTCATGTGATATCATTTGAAACTTAGTGTTCTTAGTGTTAATGGTCAATGTTTTTTTCTTTCAGGAACAACAAAGATATAACAGTGGAGATTATCATTGAAAGACAAGAGGATGGGTCTGACGCATTCTCGCGACTCTACATTTGCTTTGAACAGCTTTGAAGTTCATGGAAAAGGAATTGTCGACCAGCCATAGGTTTGGATGGTACTTTTTAAAGCATTATGTTCAAGGAATCATGCTTACTGCTGTTGGAAGGGATCCTAATAACCAGATATATCCTATAGCTTGGGGTGTAGTTGCAGCAGAGAGCAATGACAATTGGGAGTGGTTTATAGAGAAGCTAAAGGCCGACTTTCATTTGGGTGATGGTGAGGTGATTACCATCATTTATGACCAGCACAGAAGTTTGATTCATGGAGTTTCTACTCAGTTACCAAAGGCAGAACATCGAGCTTGTGTGTGACACATCTATGCCAACCTCAAGAAAAATCACAAGTCTGATTTATTGAAGCCATTGTTTTGGAGAGTTGTAAGCAGTTATAGTCTAGCGGATTTCAGGACAAACTTGCCAACATTCAGAGAGTTTAATCCAAGGGCATGCGTGAGCTTCTTCAGAAGGATCCTCAAACCTGGTGTAGGGCACACTTTTGGATTGGAAGCTGTTGTGCAGACACACACAATAATCTAACATAGTATTTTAATAGGACTTTGAAGGCAGCAAGGAAAAATCCATGTGTTCAGATGCTAGAGCTGGTAAGAAAGGATGCAATGCAAGGAATTGCCAATAGATATAAACTGCTTGTAAAGAGGTGGTTACTAGATACACAAAGAAGGCAAGGAAAGAGATGGTGAAATTATGTGTAGAAGCACAAGATTGTTATTCTGTTTCAAGCACAGGTGGAAAATATGAAGTTTTTGAAGGAGTTAATGGGTATACGGTGAAGCTCAATAAGCATAGTTGTGCTTGTAGAAAGTGGGACTTGACTGGCATTCCTTGTCGCCATGTTGTCTGTGCAATCTGAGAGAATGTGGGTAATGTTGAAGATTATATTCCAGACTATTACTTGACAAATAAATGAAAGGAGACATATCTGAGAGATATGAAGCCTGTTAATGGACCTAAGTTTTGGGTTCATTCTGAAGATGGACACATTAATGCACCACCATATGAACGTCCTCCAGGGAGACCTAAGGGTAAAGCCAGAACTAAAGATGTTCATGAATCACCATCTAAGAAGAAGGTTGGCCGACAAGGAAGAGAAGGACATTGTGGTTTATGTGGTGAGAAAGGGCACAACTCAAGGAAGTGTCCTCATGAGGTATATATCTTATTTTTTTGCTGTTATGTCTTATTTAATTTACGGTTGACAGATTTTCTTGGTTAATATTCTAACTTGTACATTTATATATATCTTTATCAGTCTGAATAGAACATAGAAAAGAGAAGATGGCTTAATAAGGAAGCTCGACTTAAAGCTCAAGAAGAAGCACAACAGGAAGCTCAACAAGAAGCTCAAGATTTAGCTCAAGAACAAGCTGAAATGGAGGCTGATTTCGCTGCTCAAATAGAAGATCCTATTGAAGTCCAAGATATTTCTTCAAGTGCCCCACAAGGAACCCAAAGAGAAAGCCAGGGCAGAAGTGAAAGAGGAAGGCAAGGAGGAAGGGGAACTCGTGGTGGCAGGCAAGGAGGAAGAGGAACTCGCGGTGGCAGGCAAGGAGGAAGAGGAACTCGTGGTGGCAGACAAGGAGGAAGAGGTGGGCGAAGAGAAAGAAGCAATCGATTGGCTTATTTTTTTTTTGGAGATTTGTTTGATTAATCACAGTTTTAAGGTAAACATGTGTGCTAGTTTGGTTTTTGTGGAACACATATGTGGTTTTCGTTTTGGTGATGTTTTTTTAGAAAACATGTAATGTATTACATATTTTTGGAAGAAACATGTCTACTCTTTAGGATAGTGAATTTTATGATTTTTGTTAGTGTTGTTTTGTTGGCGGCTTTTATATATGACATTGCAAGTTGTATTGTGATTTGCCTTTGGGATAATGATAACAAATTTTCAGCCTCTTTGATTTGTTGTTTTGTTTTGTTTTAGATCTAATCACCACAATATTTTAAAAGAATCACAAATTGTTTTCAATCTAATTCACCAATCGATAATATGTAATGAAAATAGTCATGAATCTTAAGAGAACCATAATAAATCAAATAAAGCTAACCATGATTCAAATAGTCATGAATCATATAAGGGACCAATCGCTTAGGAAATAAATATTTATGCCCAAAGACCAAACAGAGACAGGTCCAACAAGATGTTCTTACTACAAATCAAACACAAAGAGCTAAGCCGACAGGATGTCCTAACAAACCAAACACAAGGGCCATAAGAACATATACTTATGCATCTGTTTACGCATTGCTAATACAGAACAACTTCAAGATCTTTGCTTTCCATCCAAATTCAAGTCATGGATCATCACCATGTCGTGCACATTTATCCACCTCATGCTTCTCCAATTCTCTACGAAGCTCCACAATTGTTATGCTTAGATAATCAATCACATTTTTCTTCTCCCGAATTTCATCTCGAGCTTGAATCAATGCTCTTTTTGGCCCTCCTTTCAGCTCTTCTTCATCAAACTACCTAAAGTATTTGCAGTGAACTGTCCCACCATCCTAATGACACACAAATAAGATTTTTTTACAATCAAATATATTCCATACAATCACAGACAATCACTTATTATTTTCCATACCTTGTACAATTTACAGCTGAAGAACCTTTGATATATATTTTTATCTGTCTGATAGCAGGATTATGACTACTAAGCAAATCCTAACACACTCATGTCATTGAAGCATGTAAGGTATCAATCCATCTGAGTTCTTAAGGGACCAAAAATACATCAAATCATTTAAGTTAAGCTAAATTCAAGAAAGCAGTTGTGATCAAACTAAACAACTCTAAAGACTGAACTAAACAAAGCAGGAAATTCAAATAGATGAAGTAAGCATCTAAGATGGGGGTTATTGATTAAGAGGGGATTAGAACCTAACTAGTGATGCTTCAAAACCATTCAAACAATGCTATCTTCTAGGCATATGATTAACAACTATAACTAGCTCAATTCTTTGACATTAATCACTTTGCTAAGTACACATTCAAGATAAATCCCTTTACTTAAACACATGACCAGCAAGCATTCAGAACAGAACTCCAATGTTATAAAGCCAAAATGCACCTTAGACATCTAATTCCTTAGGCTAAGCATACAAATCCTCTAAGAGACTCTAAACAACATTTCATCAAACACTTACTAGGCGCAAGAGAAAGCCAAGATACTAAACAAGCCTGACCAAGACTAATCTAGTGTTAAGCACATCTAATAGAGAGAAGACAATCATATTAAGCATAATACGTCACTAATTTAATCCTAAAATCCCTATAATCTATCCCATCTCAAACCCTAAATAAGACTACTCACTAGCCATAGTCAAAACCACAAATTCTAAAGTGAAAAGATGGTTAAGCATGATTAGGAAGCAGAATAAACAAGAATAGATCAAAGGCAAATGCTGCAAGAAACAGAGCTGAGGGAAAGAGGCCAGTTGTTGAGGAAGAACCAGTCCAAGATGCAGCACCAAAGCTGAAGGACTACTTGATAGCAATGAGGAAAGTGGATTTCACTCCAACAAGATATGCTGATCCTGGTCTGTTGGGAGAGCTAGGAATAAATCCTGAAGTGGATGAGCTGTTGAGCAACATTGGACTGGAGAAATTTTTTAGTCTTGGTTATCCAACTTACAAGCAACTTTCTTGTGAGTTCCATGCAAGCTTCAAGGTCCACTTCTTCAAGTTTGATGAAGAGTATGATGAAGGAGAAGAAGACTTTGGAAATGGATTCATCAAGTTCAGAGCCAACAGAGCACGGTACACCATGGGGTTCACTTAGCTTGAAGAGATCTTTGGATTTGATCAAGGCTCAAGAGCACAAAACATGCGCTTCAAGCATGGTGAGCTAAGGCATGTATGGGAAGAGCTAGCGAATGATTCTTATAGAGCTAGTCATCTGAAGAGTGCTAGCATCCGCCATAAAGCTATCAGATATGTTCATAGAGTTCTCACCAGCACACTCTTCTACAGAAAAGAGCAAAGTATGGTCAAAGAAGAATAGATGAGGTTGCTTGTGAATGGCTTGAAGAACATAATGGTTGAAACAAGGCATGGGAAGATACAAGGAGAGCACTTAGGAGTTGGTCTTGTGACAATCCTAATGAAGCAATTTCTAGCATGCCAGCAATGGTCTTTCAACACCAGAGATAAGAAGCCAAAGATAGCCATTGGAGACGTGATCACTCCTATCTTGCTTGGTGCTGGAGTTGAGCTTGACACACCAGATGTTACAATGATCTTTCTAGATGTTCCTTATCTCAGCAAGATCGGATATCCTTATCTCAGCAAGATCTGAGCTGTTGAGAAATGATTTGGCTATCAGTTTGAGCTGGAAAACAGGAAGAGGAAGATCATCTTGCCCAATCAGCGCTTAACCAACTTCACATCATATGAGAACATCCGATTCATGCCAATAGAAGATGAGCTTTATGACCCAAAGACTGACCCACCATTGATGAGGCCAAGCAAAGTGAAGAACATGAGCACCATCAGAGACTCAGATTTGGAAGAAGACATCGAAGAGCAGCATCAAGAACAAGAGGTTCAGCATCAAGGGATGGGAGAGGAAGAACATGAAGACTATGATAGCCGCCCTTATGTATTTGACCCATATGATGTGATCTGCACATCTGAAGCTTCAAAGGCTGCACATGAGCATATTAGGCTTCTTCAGAGATGGAGCTACTTCCAGGACAAAGCCATCAGAGGTTTGCTAAGGAAAGTCAAAGCAAGCAAGAAATCGGTTGACTCTTTGAAGAAGAAAGTGAGGATGCTCAAGAAGAAGTTGAGAGGATCTTCATCAGCCAAGAGATCTGATCAAGCGATCCAAACATAGCCACAAGGAGGAGGGTCTGATGCTGTATACATGTCTGACTACACACTAGAGATAGCAGTCCAAGAGAGACACTCATTCCACATCAGTGAGTGGCCAAGAACACAAGTTCCTCAACCGGCCAGGCATTCATCTCATGTAGCTGCTCCAAGGTGAAAAGGAAAGAAGAGAATACCTAGACATCAAACTCCATCAGAGGAGGAAGCTTCACCTTCCCATACCATTGAGAGTTCAGACTCTCACCACTCCTCCACCTGAAGTAAGGTACACCACACTAACCATTGTAAATACCACTCATTTTATTTATTTATTGTGATTGTTTGCTTGATGTTTGTGAAAGCTCTCCTTAGCATTTTTATTACACAGGCACTGTGTAATTTAAGTGTGGGGGAGGGTGTACGGTGGACTGATGCTTGCATTTGCATTTTCTTAGTAGAATAGGAACCATGCATCATGATTTCATAGCATCAAAGGCACTGAAGAAACCAAACAAATTGAAAAATTGCTTCACAAAAAGAGTTTGATTTTCATGCATTCTTATAAGGATTTAGACTTCATGCATTCATATAGGACTAGCTTGCTTGTTTAAATTGGGAACTATGATAGTACATCTTTGTTAATGCTAATGGTTTATGAAAATGAAGCCCTTGTTTTTAATCCTTTGGTGCATTTGATGTTGAACTAGAAATAAAGCTGAACCACTTTTGGAATTTGCATTTGTGTGAGCTTGTTTAAGACTGAAGCATGCTTTAAAATGATTTCAACCTTTGTTTAAGTGGAACTTAATTTGAATTCGCAATTATCATGTCTTATGTTTTTGTGATTGATGTCATGAATTATTTAAAATATTTGGATCTTATTCTCTTTTGCCATTCTCAAAAAGATCCATTTAGATTTCTCCACCCTTAACTAAAACTTCTTTCAAGCCAAGACATTAATAGTGTGTGATTTGTGAGGCATCTTCCATCATGGTTGTTGCTTAGTAAAAAGTGTTGGGTTGGAACTACAAGGGAAGTACTTCCATTGTAGAACTAGCACACTCTTAAGTTAGATAGATTAGGATGTTTGTGGAATGGTTTAGGGTTATCTTGGGTTTAGCTTTTAAGAGAGGCAAAGAAGAAAAGAAGTCAAGGCACAAAAGAAAAAGGAGTGTGACACAAGCAAAAGGGTGGAAATGGCGATTTTAAACTCAAAGAAAGAAGGGTCATGTTCAAAGAAGAAAAGAAGATGCAAGAAGTGCAAAACCAGTAAACCAAAAATCCAAAGGCGAATCAAACATCAGCATCACCAAATAAAGGAGCCAAACTCAAAAGAAGCAAATCGCCACCACTTGAAATTCAAAAGAAGAAGTGTCCTCCAAAGCGCTTGAAGAAGAAACTTTTTTGGGTTTTAAAAAGGGTTTATGTTCTTAAAAAGGGTAGCATATGAATGTCTTTCATTGCTTAGCTAGAGTTAGGAACACATCTTATAGATCTTGGGTAGATGAGAGTCTTCCTTTGTATGTGTAAGTTGTTTTTTGACCCTTAGCATTTTGTCAAATCACAACCATGCTTTTCCTTGAGAGAACCCTTTAAACACCAAAACCAGTTTGTGAAGTGGGATCATTTTTATTCCACTAAGCCTTGTCCCTTAGCCAAGTGACACTTTCCCATTTGCATAAGCACGATTCACAGTTTTAGCATAATTGAATGTTAAAAAGGTTGTTTGATTTGATGAGCATGTGAAGGTTGAAAGCTTAGTTATGATCCTT